GAATCAGTGAGAGTAGGCAGCGCACAATAGAATGCAATTGAGGAAAATTCTAAACTCAGTTAAAAATGACAACCAAAAAGTAAAGAGGCAAGAAAGTAATGAGATTTTTGAATGACCAGAGTGTGGAAGGGAGATAACATCGGTTGACAGAAAAGCTCATGAAATAAAATGCCTAGCATAACCATCTTTAGATGCGTGTAAAATACTCCTCAGCAAGTAATGGCAGCAAATAATAAGCAATGTAAGTAAGTAAGTAAATAAGTATTTGTTGAACCAAAAACTATAATAAAGAACAGCCACGTTTACAGAGTAGAATCTTGTTTTTACGAATCCAATCAAAAACCCGATATATGATTTACAAAAAAAATAGTACTCTATCTTGTCATGAAGCATATCAAAATCAAAAAATGTTTAATATTTATTCACCTCTGGACATTTATCGAGAAGGATTATTGGCAGTGATATTAAAAATAATGTAAACACGAACCAAATTACAACACGAAAAAAAAACGAAATAAATGGAACGATCCTGAATTTGAAACGAAAAATAATGGAAAAACATTTCATTTAGTATTTTTTAAATGTTTTTCGGTTCATAAAAACGACACGGAATAATCCGTCGGCGCAAAAAAATAAATGCCCATTGTGCCGCCATGTTATTTTTCAGAATTTACGGCTTATAATTTATATCAAACAGTTTTAGTAATTAAACCGTCCTATTAATTATGTTGTCGAATTATAAAACGCGCGCCATCGGTTTTATTAGCCACCTAACGTAATTTTCATGAAAATTCGAATAATTGTTTATGCTCACTGAAATTCGTAATCTATGATTAATGACAGTTTAATTATGTGAATATTTTCAGTCGGAAAGTGTAGGCCTGTAATTTGAAGAGGAAGGAATCGAGGATTGAACGAATAAACACTTGACTTTTCCAATTTTGAAAGTTCTTAATTTAAATGTGATGTTTATTAATTATACGTTTTTAAAGGCAAAAATAATCCTTTATTCAGACTTCCAGTCGCAGAATGTCAAAATAATTTTTTACACTCTCGCTTCAGTACCACGTTATTATACAGAGTGATCCTTATTGCCATGCTAATATTTGAGGCGGTGATTATTGGACCTATTCTGAGAAAAAAGCTTCATATGAATTGACATATCTCTTTATATTCAAAACATTCAGTTTTTAAGACACTCTGTATCATCATCATCATGCCTGAAGTGTCCACTGCTGGTCCTCCCTCAAATCTTTCCACTCTTCTCGGTGCCACTTGGATCCAGTTTCCCCTAAATCTCTTTAAATCATCTGACCATCTTGTCTGAGGTCTGACTCTGCTTCTGAGAGCATTCGTCTTGGCCACCGTTCTAATATTAGCTTGGTCCATCTATCATCCGTTCTTCTGGCAATATGCCCAGCCCACGCCCATTTGCGTTTTTAAGCAGATATAGGGCATCTGTTATTCGTGTACGCTGTTTTATAACTGTATTGGGTATCTTGTCTATTATGGCGCGTTCTCACGAATCGTGTGCTTGGCAAGTATTTTTTATTGGCCTACAGTGTCTGGCGAAAGTGCAGCTGGAGTCGTGAGAATGCGCGCTTAGAGATATACCAAGCGTTGCTCTTTCTATAGCTTGTTGGGCCACACGGACATTTTCGTCAGTGTAAGTGTCTCTGCGCCATATGTAAGTGCTGGCATAACGCACTGATGGAACACCTTCCTCTTTAAGCACATTTGTAGGCATGGAAACTCTCTGTATATATACAGGGTTGTTCATCACATACGACACGGAGAATTGTAGCTAAACGATTAGATTTTACAAATTGTAAGTTTTGGGTTCGTTGAAGGACTATTAGAGCTACAATTTAAAAATATTTTTACAAGATACAGAGTGTCCCAAATAAATAAAAAATATCAAAGTTGTATTTTTTTAAATGGAATACCTTGTATATTATTGCAATTTTAGTTTCTACGATTAAAATAAAGGTAAATTTGATTAAGGTTTAATACACTTAAACCTTAGCGTTTTAGAAATATTTTGAATTTTGTAAAATTGCAGTATAAATTTTAAGGCTTCATTTCTCCAAGGGTATCAAAGTTTTTAATACTAAATATTTACTGAAGTTTATTTATTGATCAGTTATTGTGTTGCAATAATAAAAATTATACTACCTTATACAGAGTGTCTAAAAATGTATTTTAAATAATTACTAGCTTTAAAGGGCAATAACTTGTTTAATTTAAAAGGAATACCCTGTATATTTTATGAGAATCAGATGCACAATTTAATTGTCTATCAAATTGTATTATGCCACTTTTTACCTATCCCTTCAAGTTTTCGTAGAAAATGCATTTTGTTGTAATTTAGACTTCATTTATAAATATACCCATGGAATATTGACATTTTAGATTGTTTTTAAAACAACAAATGTACAAAATGTACAGGCTAGTAATATTATCGTTTTTAGTAAAACGATGATATTACTAGCCCATTTGTATGAAAAAGAAAACTATTTAAATCTTTATAAAAGAGTATACCATTAATTAAATATACCACCAGTATTTTCGCCCAAATACTAATTAATTACATACTTAATTGTGTTCGTTAATAAATTATTCTAAATAAATGTGGATTTGAATCAGAAATCAATATAATAATAAGTTATAAAAATGATCGTCTCTGTTGTTATAAATAAGCATTTGTCAAAAAATTAACTATCATTTTTAAGGTATTATTTTTTTTTACCACACTGTCTAATACACATAAATAATTCAGTTTTTTAGTATTTGGAGCAATTATTATTAATCATCGCAAACAGTCAGTTGATGTAGTTTGAATACTGGAATCATATTAATTGGTCTTCTTTAACAAATATTTACACAGTTTTTTTTTTATTTTTTAATGAAATAAACGAACTATATTGACAATATTAGTATCTGTTCTCTTTAAAAATTTGGTACATCTTTAAAAATAATCTAAAATGTCAGTATTCCATGGGTATATTGATAAATGAGTTCTAAATTACAAGAAAATGCATTGTCTACGGAAACTTGAAGAGATAGGTAAAAAATGGTATAATACAATTTGATAGACAATTAAATTGTGCATCTGATTCTCATAAAATATACAGGGTGTTCCATTTAAATTAAACAAGTTATTGCCGTTTAAAGCTAATAATTATTTAAAATAAATATTTAGACACTCTGTATAAGGTAGTAAAATTTTTATTATTGCGACACAATAACTGATCAATAAATAAACTTCAGTAAATATTGAGTATTAAAAACTTTGATACCCTCGCAGAAATGAAGCCTTAAAATTTATACTGCAATTTCACAAAATTGAAAATATTTCAAAAACGGTAAGGTTTAAGTGTAATAAACCTTAATCAAATTTACCTTTATTTTAATCGTAGAAACTAAAAATGTAATAATATACAGGGTGTTCCATTTAAAATAATTCAACTTTGATATTTTTTATTTATTTGGGACACTCTGTAACTTGTAAAAATATTTTTAAATTATAGCTCTAATAGTCCTTCAACAAACCCAAAACTTACAATTTGTAAAAATCTAATTGTTTAGCTACAATATTCCGTGTCGTATGTGGTGAACAACCCTGTATAATATAGGAACACTCTGTATACAGAAATAAAAATATTGATTTTTAAAATATTATTCGCAAAACCAGAGAGGGGGAAATCAGACGACGAACAGAGATACTAGGTGTTATGTAATAGCTGTTAGACTAGTGTTCGAGATGCATTGATGTTATTTTTGGTTTGTAAGTTTTGTGCTATAGAATGGGGTTATTAAAGGTAAAGTAAATGTTTCCTCAAACTACTGTTAACTAAAGAATATTATTTTGTTTTCTTGTAATATTCTGTTCTAAAGCTTTTCCTTATTTATTTGATCTGACAAAGATAATCTATAACATGTGCATGTATTTAATGGATTCGATTTATGCAGTGAATAATTTCAATTTTAAAGTAAGTAATCTAAATACAATCGTTTACCGTCCATTCGTACTGATGTTTTTGGTTCAGTGTGACAATAAGAGTCTTATTGAATGTACTAACACTTTTCGTCCGTGAATGGGTGAATATCTTAACTAACAAACGAGCAAACTAAAACAATAAATAGAATAACTTATAATCTAACGATATTTGCACCAAACCTTCAACTTTAGCTTCGAGTTCCGCAATCAAGACCTTAGTACCTGCGTGTGGGGACTCGCTAAACTATCAGAAACCTGTTCCGTTTTGAATGTAATAAATGTGGCATGTTTTGAATGTATTAAACATAGTTGGATTGGAACAGCATAGTTGGATTCTTTAGGATAGTGATCAAGGTTCTCTCTGCCGTGCTTTTTTTACGTGTAAATTCCAGTCAGAATACGGCACTCCTTTCATTTCATTTAATAAAATATGTAGGGCTATTTACAAATTTAACGTTTGATTTACTTAACTTATTCTCCTCAAATTTTCCAAAATATTGCTTCTGTTGAGCGCATCCGAGGTAAGTCACAATAAAAATATTTTTAATACAACCTAGGTTCCTTTATTTCATTTAATTTGTTAAATTCAGAATAGCATAGTCGGATTCTTTAGACTAATGATCGATGTGCTCATTTTCCCTGTGAATTCCAGGCATTAAGTAATAATTATATCATCAGATGAATCCTGGTGGAATGCGTAATATACGTAATTTTTCTTGTCGTGTTTCTTGTAGTTGTTTTATTTGATGCCGCCACCGCACATGCGGCAGTCGGCGATTTCCGAACGCTCTTCATCGTACTTTCCATCCAAGCATGCGGGAATCGCCAAGCTCTGATAGCAACAACATAGTCGCCGATCGCGTCGCCGAGTTCCAACTTCCTCATCTGATCGGAGATCGGCGACGAGTGCTCGGAAATCGCAAAATGCCGTATGTGCGGTAGCGGCATAATATTTATATAAATTTTTGTAATTAACAATGTTTTTTTTTGTTATTTTCAGATGAACCGCCCTATCCAAGTGAAACCAGCGGATAGTGAGAACCGCGGCGGTAAGTTCCTAATAAATGTGTTAATGTATAACTAATACTAATAACATTTGTATTATATACTAATGCTAATTCATTCTTTTCAATGTTACATTCTAGAGTCGGTAATTTGATATTATTTCATGTTATACCATTTTCTCATACTACTCCTGGTGAACGACCGACTCAATAATATAAAAATTCAAAAATATTAATAAATATTTTACATACAATATTCTGAAAGTCTACATACTTCTATTTCTGGAAAGTAAAGAAATAATATAAATAATCTATAAATACCAAAATACATATAGAGTTATTTAAGCAAAAGTTATCAACACGAAAAATTTATTTTACAGATTTTGACAAAGACAAAAGCTCAAAAACCGGCTCGTATAACCGATTTTATAATAACGGGGATGGTACCGGTAAGCAACGACGTAGTTAGAAAGTTTTCACCAAAATTTTGAAACTCGAAATTTTTCCTTTCAATATTGGACACTTGATGAGTTTTTGTAGTATCGATCCTGGTTTGATTTCCTATTTTCTGGTAGATATTATATTTCTTTTTGTTTATATTTGTAAGATAATTTTATCTACAAGCTTCTTCTTCGAATTTTATATTGTTAGAGACTGTTTCTCCTATGCTTCTTTAAGTTAGTTATTTTTGTTTGTTACTTCGTCCGTTATTTTTAGTAAAAAAATTGGTATAATGCATGTTAACTTGGATTATTAAATTATTTCAAAAATTGTTTGCATAAATCAACACAATAAGTAAATTTTTACCTAATTTGAATAACTATAAATAATACTAACTTTATGAATAACTATAATTATATATATATTGTTTTTCAAAAGTGGCTTACCCCTACAACTTTTTATTTTTTTTCAAATACAAAAAACGAGATTTGGTATGTTCGTATATGACATAAATTAGGATTTATTGACATATTCAATTCTTTTCGGTCACTTCGTGTTTCACCTGAAATTACTATACATTTTGATTTTTAAATGACACCCTCGGTATTTTTTTACTTTATTCGATAGAAAATGACACTTCAACAGAATGGCATGTCATATGTCAACTTTTGATATTTTCGCCTAAAAAATAGTATTAATTTAATAGTATAAATTTCAATCTAGAGTTTAGTTGCTGTGTTTTACTCAGAAATACTAATATTTAATCAAAGAGTCTTGGAAAAATAAATTTGATCATTTAATGTTCTTTTTGTCTTGTTTTGAACGGTTAAAAGATGCCTAAATCGTAATTTTAATCATTATTTTTAGCTTATTAGTTTATTTGGAAAAAAACAAGTTTTTATGAATAATTTGGTACCACATAATTGATATTTCGAGTATATTTCGAGTTTTTTATTATTTGTATATTTGTTTTTGTGCTTTTTTGTTTTTTGAATGTTTTGTCGATGAAGCTGTTTTGGCTTTTTGTACAATAAAGCTTTGTTTTTTTTCAAATTTTCGTTATGAACCTCATGTTACAATTTCAAATAAACCATATGCGAAAATGTTAAAAGTTAACATAAGATACCTATATCATTCTATTCAGAGTGTCATTTTCTATCAAATAAAGTAAAAAATACCGAGGGGTGTCATTTAAAAATCAAAACTTGTAGTTATTTCCGGTGAAACAGCAAGTGATCGAAAATAATTGACTACGTCAATCAATCCTGATTTATGTCATATACTAATATACAAAATATCTATATATTTTTTTCTCCTTTCTTGGATATGAGGTTTTGGTTTGGAAATTGAAATGGAAACTTTTTTTTTTATTATGCGACGTTTTGCCTCATCATGGTGGGCTTTCTCAGGCACTTTATTCTTGAAGCCGCAGCCGCCTTGCTACCACCAGTCTATATAGAAGAATGTAAGTGAATTACTCAATGAGGCAAAACGTCGTATAATAAAAAAAAAAGTTTCCATTTCAATTTCCAAACCAAAACCTCATTACCAAAGAAAGGAGAAAAAAAATATATATATAAATTTCTAAAGGTTTAAGAAACAGAAAAAAAAACTTATACAAAATATCTTTCTTTACCTAAAAAATAAAATAATTATATGGGTTAGCCAATTTTGAGAAACACACGGTATAATGTGGAATTTAAAACTTTGCATTTAAAAAAAATAATTAACAACAAATTAACACGCCACAATAAACACAACAGATATTATTGCTAAAATATAATCGAAATTTAACACTTAAAGTAAGCAAATGTAAATATTCCGAATATGCTTCCTATTTTTATAAAGGGTTTTCGATAAATGGCATAACAAAATTACAGAGGGTGAATTCTCATTAAAAAATATGAAACATAGTTCCTATAAAATCTAGGTCCAGAAATGCTGCTAGTTTAAAAATACAGGGTCTTTTATAAAATAATTTTTTAGATAATTATAATTTTTTTAATTTGCTGTAGGTTGTAATTTTAATTTATGATGAAGTATATTAACACCTACTCTAGTTTAAAACTGAAATTAACTTTTTAAATGGTTTTTAAGGAGTCCAAAGACCTGCATTGGATTGATTTTATTTGTTTATATTATAACGTAATATTGTAACTAAATTATAAAGATCATAATAACCAACTAACTGTAATTATAATAGAAAATTTTAAAATTTGATGTTGGTAAATAATGTTTTCTACTATTGTATGGTATCTATGCACTCAAACAAAACTTCTTTATCTATACAGGGTGAGTTTTAATTAAGTGCAAATATTTTCAGGGTTGGTAGATCTCGATAAAAGAAACATATTTTCTTTTTACCGTTTTTCAAACAAGTCCAAAATAACCGAGATATTTTATTTCGAAAATTTCCAAAAAATGTTTTATGCTAAAATTTTGAGAACCACGGGATCTTTGCTATGTTTTCTTTCTTGTAAATTTAGTCTACTATCTATGTTACAGTTGAGGGTTGGAACCTTTGGTGTTACACATCAAAATAAAAATACTAAATCACCACAATACACCAAAACACTTTTACTTTTACACTAGCATCATCAGCAGATGATTATAAACTAAAGTACAATCTACAAGTTGAGCGTTTATATACTCGCTCAGTGGGCACCGAGTGGGCGTGGCAAAATCTAGCCAACCGAGTCAGAGCCCTCTGAGCGTAACAGTTAGATTTCCGCCACTAGAGTAGTAGGAACAAAGAACTTGAAGGAATTGGACCGTTGTCTCTGTTCATACTATCTTTACATTTTTTTACATAGATGCATATGAAAGCATCAGAATTAATAAATGTAAAGATAGTATGAACAGAGACAACGGTCCAATTCCTTCAAGTTCTCTGTTCCTACTACTCTAGTGGCGGAAATCTAACTGTTACGCTCAGTGGGCTCTGACTCGGTTGGCTAGATTTTGCCACGCCCACTCGGTGCCCACTGAGCGAGTATATAAACGCTCAACTTGTAGATTGTACTTTAGTTTATAATCATCTGCTGATGATGCTAGTATAAAAGTAAAAGTGTTTTGGTGTATTGTGGTGATTTAGTGTTTTTATTTTGCTACTACCTATGTTATCAAGAAATTAAGATTTTTAGAAAAACTAAAAAAAAAATACCAAATTTTTTTTTTCAAAAAATTCTAAATTTTAAGAAAAAATCGCGAAAAAAACCTCATAATCGTGTTTCTGGGGTCGAAAAATACTACCCCTAAAAATATTTGCACTTATTTAAGACTCACCCTGTAGAACTATAACATTTATGATATCTAAAAATATCTTAACAACTTTAACAATAGACATTCGAGTCTATCAAAATCGCAAAGCATACCAAATACTTAGCATTTCCCTCTGAAACGTAGAACGAATAGATGTGTAAATTATAAGAGAAGTGGCGTGCCAGATACACACCAGAGACACTTATGTTTCCCGATTCAGCCCGCCTTGATTAATGTAAATACGTGCATTCACTGATTGTTCTCAAAACTGCTTGCTTATACGCGAATGTGCATGTTCATTTTGAGTTCCTTCAAATGAGGAAAGATTGTACCATATCATTCAAAGATTCTTGCTGCTAAGTTTTGTGAATATATTAAAATTAATTGTAAATATTTAATAGAATGATTATTGCTGGAAACTAAATTAGTACGTCTAAAGCTTCATTCAGACCCTCGGAATTAGTGGAATAAATTAGTGGTTTTAATTATACTTTATACTTAAGAGTGAGATCATTTACAATACCTAAAAAATAAGATTAAAATTAATATTTCCTAGAAAGAGCTTGCGGTGTGGTCAGTTGTACACATGAAAAAGCGTGTAAAACAATCAACTTTTTTTCCTAACAAAAATTTCTCTTGAAAAAGTTTAATGTTCTTTTTTAACTTTTTCTACTAATTGAAAATTACTACCACTAATATTGACGTTCTGAATGCTTACATTGAAATTAGAGGAACAAACTTCAATGCTACTTGAAGCCACTGATTTATTCGACTAATTTCGAGGTTGAAAATGAAGCATTAAGTAATTTTTTATTTTTTACAGTTGTTAGAATCAGAGTCAGTTAAAACGGAATAAAGGAGCTTTTCTTATACACAGCCTTTAATTAATATCATAAAATCAAGAGGGGACATTTTACTATTTGTTTGACCTTTCTTTCTAATGTATAGGAGAATATTATTTAGTACTATATAAATATATAGTTTTTTATTGATAGGGTTCTTGGTTTTTGGTCAATATTAAACTTTTTCAGGGTTTAGGAAGTGTTTATTATATAACTAACGTTTCGGTCCAGTTTTAACCTTTTTCAAAGCCTACAATACGATATTATCAAACTACAACTGTGTAAAAAAAATATAAATAAAACTTACCACAAAACGTACATTTCCTTCGTCAAACTTGTATTAAATCATGGGTGCATAAAATAACAGGTGATAACACATAACATTTAACTTAAAATTATACTCATACAATATCACCCACATGACACAATAATTAACATATACAGTTTAAAATTTTAATAAATTGTGATGGCCGGCTCAATGTATTTTCTGTACTGAAGCGT